AGCTAGGAGGTATATGCTAGGGTAGGATAAGGTAGGGAACGGTAGGGTAAGGTAGGGTAGGGTAGGGTAGGGTAGGGTAGGGTAGGGTAGGGTAGAAGGGTAGGGTAGGGTAGGGTAGGGTAGGTTGGGTTGGGTAGGGTAGGGTAAGGTAGTGCAGGGTATACCCTAGGGTAGGGTAAGATAGGGCATACCCTAGGGTAGGGTACGGTAGGGCAGGGTATCCCTAGGGTAGGGTAAGGTAGGGCAGGGTAGGGTAAGGTAGGATAGGGTAGGGTAAGGTAGGTTAGGGTAGGGTAAAGTAGGATAGGGTAGGGTAAGGTAGGATAGGGTAGGGTAAGGTAGGATAGCGTAGGGTAGGGTATACCCTGGGGCAGGGTATATGCTGTGGTAGGGTAGGGTATGCGGGGGTTCAAATCAGTCGGGCATACTTGTGGTTCATAACTGGTCAGAGGTGCCAGTGGTTAGAAAGCAGTTAAGAGCTACTGGTGGGGTTAAAAAGCAGCCACACGTGCCCGGCGTAGAGGGGTTGATATCACCAACACACCCCCACGCTCCTTCGAATGGTGGTTAGGCGCACTCACACAACCCGTGCGCCCCTTATGGGTATTTATAAGGGCACTAAACAATCACTACCTCATAAAAATCAGGCGAAACTCTGCACAGACAGCAAAACGAATATGTGGCCTAATGCCTGTCAATCCAACAGACCAACTGAACAATGGCGGGCATCCTGGTAACCAGGGAAGTCGTGGAAGGTAGTGCCGGTTTAAACCACCACCACCATTACCTCCGAACCTGACCGGCCATTGAGGCCAGGTACCATACCAGTTTCCAGCAGCAGTCTAGCAGAGGAGAGTCAAGGCCTATTGTACGAGGAACTATTTTGGGAACAAAGAGGACCTCTCCCAGATAGTGGTTCTTTTAGAACCCACAAAGGTGGCTGTGAAACAGACCCCCATTAAACCACCAGTACATCCGAAAAAGCAGATTGAGCCTCTCCTTAAACTTTGGAGGCCATGGACCGTAGATAAAGTGAATCGGTGGTTCATGACCTCCTATTTTTTAGGGGAGATTCAATCTCCTTTTCCGGATGTACGGGTGGTTTAAATGCATAGGAGAGTTGGTGGCGGTTTTTTCACTGCACGCAGATTTCCTTAATGCTCACCTGTGAAGGAATACTAGATGATGTTACTACCTCCTCTGACGCCTGATCCACTGCACCCTGTTGTGTTTCTGCCTCTTTCTTCTCTGCTTCTTCACTTGCTTTGCGCTCACGCTCCTCTCGCTCCTTCTCTTCGCTCTCCGCTTTCTCCACCGCTTCCTTCAGCTCTATTTTGTTTTCCCCCCATCAACCCCCGCGAACCGAACACAGCTCAATCAACACCACAACACAGAATTGACATGCCTTGACCGTTGCATCCCAATCCATAGAGAGGAGCAAAGTCACGCTAATTTCCCCAAGGGAAAAAAAAAAGCTACGCTAAGACGTGGGAAAATCCAACCACCACCACTGCATCCCAATTTATAGAGAACAGCAAAGCCGCAAGAAGGCGCTGCAAACTACCAACCACACGATGACGAAGAAAAATACCACCACCGTCATAGCCTCCCAAGTTTTTTTTTTTTTTTTTACACAAACTCACACAGCAGATCGTGGTTGGCGGCTCCCGAGTTTTTTTTGTAAGCACGCAGACTTCTCACAGCAGATCGTGGTTGGCGGATGCTGCGCCCGCAGAGGGTTCCGGCCACTCAGTTTTCTTCCACCTCGTTAGCTAAGCACCCACCGGCTGGAACGCACACCCCGAGGCCTCTAATCAATTCGCTTTACCCAGCCTCCCCCCACGTTATAGAGAGTAGGAAAATGAAACACCACCCTTACCATTGCCTCCCAACTTCCCAAGTCATCGAGAGGAGGAAAACCATGCTAAGACGTACCGCACCACATAATGACATGACAACGAAGAATCCACCACCAACCACCTTAAACCTCCTCAGAAGACTTCGACACATAATGCCGGACACTTGCGGTCCGTTATCTCATCCCGCACTCTGCACAACGCATGTGGCACTGGAAATCCTATCACAATTTTTGTTTCTTGCACGCTCCCTGTTCTTTTAGCAAAGGGGTTAATTAGGTACTTACTTGTCCTCCGGGACATCTGTTAAAATTGGAACGATACAGAGAAGATTAGCATGTCCCCTGCGCAAGGATGACACGCATAAATCGAGAAATGGTCCAAAAAATAAATAAATAAATAACTTTAAAAAAGGTACTTACTTAACCCCAATGGTTATCGTATGGAATGGTCTGGATTTGAACTCTTGGTCTGTTCATCAACGGCTACATATAAGTACCGTTCAGTCGGCCAGCAGAGGCAGCGGAGTGGTACCATAGCTACAGCATGCAAACCTGGCACTTAGTCAGATATCAATGCCTTGATGTTGTCTGAATCCAGCCCTGATGTTGTCTGAATACAGACCATCGAGACAACATCAACCCATTCGTATCTGACCCGGATAACGTGATACGCCAAAAAATATACAAAAAAATTGAAAATTGAAAATTTTGTATTTCCTTTTTTTTCCCCATTAATTCTTAACTTACTTCTTAATTGTGGCTGGGAAGTTCGTGTTGACCTTCAGCCAATAGTCGGTTGTAACTTTGTATATTGAGTTTCTTAAAATACGTCCCTCTCAACAACAACAACAACAATAAATAAATAAATAAAAAAAAGTCACTCTCAAGACAATTTTCTGGAAATTCTCTGACCAGTTTTTAACAAATCAAAGTCAATGTTTTCAATTTTCATAATTTTTCTATTAATTATGGTCCCAACTCCCGACATCCATCCAGTTCATGGCACCAAACCATCTGAATACTCGATTATTGATTACTGAATTTCAAATTTAAAAAATCGTCTAATTTGCACCTCCACAATATGCATGCATGGACTCCATATCACGCAGGCTGCAAGGACGTACAAACACGTAATAAAGAAATAAAGTTTAATAAACTAATGATTATCATAATTATTATTATATGAAGTGTGAGGGTTGAGCCCTCAAGAAGGGGCCTTGCCATGATGTACATGTTCTGGGCTAAGGCCCCAGCAAGCCCCGTGCCCGCCCTAAGTGAAGGCGGGCCAGCAAATCAACAAGAGCCCTTTGTGCAAACATTTCACAAAGTGGGGTCCATACAGTTGCAGCACGCCAGTTGGTTGGAGTGCACCGAGTATCGGAGCTCTGCAAATGCAGAAATCCCAGGGCCCCAGAGTTGG